CTATGAAAATACAGATTAAAAAAGTACTCATGTGGTGAACATTACGAATATCCCGAAAGTTCAATTATTGTCCAAATTATCTTAAGAGGTAAACTTGTCAGGTCAAAAGTGAGTGGAGTGTAGAAACGTTAAGTTAACGTCGTCAAGGAGATGAGACACGTAGAAAATCTCCGAGCTTAGTGTTCGTTGGGCTGTAATGAAATTCTGGCGAATACATATTTGTACAATATGAGAAATATTCCAGGTCGTTGGGGGGTGTGGAATGATGGGGGAGAAAAGGAGGCTCACGAAGAAAATATTTGGCTTGTGCGGACGCACAATCCCGCCAAGAGAACAAAGGGCTGATTTTTTTTTTAATTTTTAAATTTAAAATTTATGGATTCTTGGAAATATCGAGCTCAATTTGCAATTTGTACGGGATGACTTGGCGGATGGATTTGTGGACACAGGTACGAACCAGCCGACATTCTTAAACAGAAGAATGAAAATACAAGGAAAATCTCGACCCACCGTATGGTGGAAAATGGTCATGGATTAATTCAGGGATTATGCCAAATGAATAAAATTAAGGGAAATTGAATTTACAAAGCCTATTGTTGTCGGTGTCGTCTTTCGTTTGTACAAAAATCGTGTAATTAAATATTAATTAATTCCGAGAGTAATGAACTAAAATGCGTTATCAACCAGGAAAATACTCCAAACAAATAACTCTCTCTCTCTCTCTCTCTCTCAAAAAAAAATGTTCGTAAGAGGAAGGGAAGGCTTGTTCCTTAAAGTGACATCCTATCATCTACACTCGGCCGCCATACATAATCCCCTCCCTCCGAGCAAGTCTCAAATATTTCATTTCTAACTGGCTTAAGTTAGTCTTTGCGAAAGTGGGCTATTCTGTTATATATTGGTTAGTCATTGTTTGAGGTCATCAAAGGACTTTTTATACGGGGATGGGCCGGTGAATTTTGATGGATTGAGAAGTTTTATGGGGTAAAGTTGTAAATCACTATATCCTATTGAATGTATTCGTCGTGTTTGGGGTGGTTTGTCGGCTCATGAATTGATGCAATATTGTAGAGGTGAGCAGATGTACAGCTTCCTCCATTTGTCCCCGGTTTTTTAATCATGGTTCAAGGTTTTGGTACAATATTGACCGAAAGAAGACCCAGTGAACGGGATAATCTGGAGTGTTTAAAAAAAAGATTATAAGGAACTAGGATCACACCACTGTGGTCAGAAAGTAGGTAGGATAGGGATGGTTAGTTGGGCCAGTAGGTAGGTTCATTATGGGGAAAAGCTATGATTTTGGGAAGAGTGGACACCTGAGGATGTTTTTTATAGCTGCCTGATGATGAATTTTATGTTTGATGGTGTTTTAGAGGAAAGAAAATTGGGAAAGAACTAAGTCTTGTGTTGTCTTTGACGTGTACGGGATTGCTTAAGTCTTAAGTGTTGGGTCGATTTATGAATTTATGTCAGTATTGTAGAGATGAGTAAATATACTTTTTCGTTAGACCTCGGTGTTTAATGGTTCAAGGTATTGGTCGAGTATGGAAGTTGTCCCAGTCTGAGGGGTTTGAGAAAACAGGCAGGAATCAACGACTATAAGACTGCTAGAGTGGTTGTAAGAATAGGGTTGAAACCATTGCAGTGGGGATCATACATCGTTATAAGTATGCTCTCCACCCTCGGCAATGCACAAACGAGCCCGTTTTCTCTAATCTCTAATCAAAGTTGCAGTCGTGTTGGTAAATAAGTAAACACTTGAACTATTTCGGCTTGAACGCAAATTTAACTTAGTTCGTGAGATGCGGTCTGCGGTGGCGTAAGTTCTCGTCGTTTTCTTTATCGTCCCAACGTTTCGATCTTTATTGAGATCATCTTCAAGGCCCAAAGTGTTTTTTTTTTCTGTGTAGATGTGATATTCTTGGGTCGTGTTGAGAGTGCCATCATTCACTAACGGTCACTAAGCACCACACATTTAACGCAGTTTTCAATAGTATCAACGGATTTGTCTCAAACATTTTAATTTTGGAGTTGTCATTGTTTAGTTGAAGTAAGGTCGTGATTAAAAAATCAGAAAAACGGAATAACTCCGAAACTGTTGAGATTCGGACCAAAGTCAATTAGGACTTTTCGTTCAATTTTGAATGTAGAATCTACTGGCAAACTTTGTAAGACGTATAGCCGAACACCCTGAATATACAGCAGAGTCGCGATAATCCGAGCATAGGTTAATCCGAAGGAACATGTAACCCGAACGGGCGTGTAACTAAAACCATTTCTAACTATCCCTAAAAATCACCACTTCTAAGCATCACTAACCACATCATATGTAGCCATATGTAACTAAAACTAGCAATTTCTAACCATATCTAACCACTCCTACCTATACAAACCACTTTTAACTAGGGCTAATGACCCATACTTTCGAATTGAATACATTTTGAATGTAGAATCTACTGGCAATGTTTGTCACACGAGGAGCCGAATACCCTGTATATCTTGTTTTCTATCTACCTACCTATATGTCTATCTAGCTAACTTCCTACCTTTATATCTATCTGTCATTCTTCCTAACTACCTATCAACCTATCTACCCATTTAATTATCTACATATCTATCTATATAGTTACATATAATGCATATTTTTCTATCTGTCTACTACCTATAAATCTCTCTAACAGATATGTAGGTAGGATAGTACGTAGATAGATGCATCGGTAGCAAGATCACGATACCTATTATATATATATATATATATATATATATATATATATAANTCTATCTATCTCTATCTATCCATCTATCTATCCCTTCCTCTCCCTCTCGCTCCCTCTCCCTCACCTCTCTTTCTCTTCCCTCTCTGCCTTCAATCAGTTACTATTCCTAATTGAAGAGACGTTATCGACCACTTGAAGTCTTTGGTCTAAGTAATTTAATGTATTAATTTTTTTATGTAAGGTTTTGGTTGAAATGAAAAAGTGAGTGCCACGAGCGGGATTCGAACCCACGACCTTCGGCTAAATGCGCCGCTGCTCTACCACCTGAGCTATCGTGACTTCGATCCATTCGGACACCAACACCCATGTAAACCTACAACCTTTCGAATTTTAAAAGTACGACCTCTATACCGGTGGCTCCCAAATTTATAAGTCCTTCCATCCCTCCGACCTACTTTTGGCTATCCCTAGAATTCAGGAATTCCACGGGGACATAAAAACAGCCTAGAATAGCAACCTATTCGAAAAAAAATTTATATAATTAATTGTGTAATTATATAATTAGGCATAAGCTGATAAAAATAATTAAAAAGTTAGTATTAACCTAGAATGAAATTCTAGGAAGTCCAAACCCATTGTTATAGAATCTTCTCAAATCCTCTACCGCCACTCCTTTTATCAACAACCAGCCCCTTCCGGAATGGTTCACCTTCAACCGAAACCGCACATTTCCCAAATTTCCCGTAGGTGTATTACAAACCTCATTCTGCCGGTCCTGGCATATCCTACCTTTCGCCACGCGTAAACTCTCTCCATCCTTCCTCATCTTTCCCCCCTCCGACTACAGTGTAGTCAACAAGAATATCGTCTGAAAAGAATCGTTGTGTCAGAATTATTTTCGGCACTCCCCGACGTCCAGTCACACACCTTCAGAACTATCCTCGCTTTATTCCTTCTTCCATAATTTGTCTTATCTACGTCTATCTAAGGTCTTTTCCTTTACCAATCCATAAACTCTCATCAACCTCCCTATATTTTCCAGCTACTTCTATTCAAATCTTAACACCCGCTCGTTTCTCAATGTCCCTATATCTTCCTCGACATAAAACCTCCACATTTGAGCGATCCTTCCTAGCTCTAGCCACAAATCTTGGGAATTCTCTTTGCCAATCCAAACCATCAATATTACTTTTTGACACTAACTTCCCAACCCAACCCCCCTTTTGAATTTTCCCTAGAGCAGCGGCGTATCTAGCCGAAGATCGTGGGTTCGAATCCCGCTCGTGACACTTTTATTATCTCAACTTAAAAACCTTAATTAATTGAAATATATTAATTGGTCAAGCGACCTCGAAAACAATTGTTATTAAAGTGAATTGTTATTATTATTATACGTCCTAGAATAAATTATTTTCTCTCTTTCCTTCCCTCCCTCTCTCTCTTACTCTCTCTTTTCTCTATCTCTCTCTCTCTCTCTCTCTCTCTCTCTCTCTCCCCCTCTCTCTCTCCCTCTTTTATTTGATAATTTATACAACAGATATAATAAGACAGTTTCCAAAGTCAATTAACCTTCCTTTTATCAGACTTGTTATTTACAAGTTGGGTGTTTCAATGTCGGTGTGACCTTATAATTATGTGTTTTTTTCTTTTCAAATCACATTTTATTACACGTTTTTCAACAATGAAAACCCGTCCAGACCGGCTCGGACAGGTCCTTTGGCTTGATCCGATCTGTGCCAGACAAGAAAGCAGGAAATTTAAAAGATTTGCACGAGTGGTTTCCGTAATCCGGTCGAGAATAATACTGAGTTTAATTTTTTGGTCACGTGCGATCAACTGACCGGTGTAATGTCTAATCTCGACATATCCAGAGATGAATTTCACGGTAATACTGCAGAGTGATATACAAGGGGGAAGAGAGGCTTTTCTTATTTATTTATGGCCCTTGATCAGATGGATTTTAAGAAACTTTATTCTTACTTTGGGGGCTTCGGAACAAATTGCACATTACGGCCTAGAATCAAGGTTAGAGAGATAAATCAGTGTAGTTTGGATAATGGGTTGTATAATGTGAGATTATTACTAGTCAGAAAGTGTAAGAACGATAAGTTTCTTTCTTGATGTTAATTTTACGAAAAGAACATTCGTTCACAAAAGAATTAATTTAACAGTTTAGATATATCGAGAACTTTTTTTACTCATGAATAATCTGGATGGACCGGTACGGTCTGAATGAAAAAAGACAAATCGGATTTTATAAGACAGCGCCAATTTGTTAAAGTGATGCCAGAAGTCGAGGATTGTTGGCTTAATGTGAAAGTCCAGGTGACGAATGGGGTAACAACCCGTCGAAAATCACTTTTAGAAATTAAAAGGACGTCTTGGGAAGAGGGAAGGGAAAAATATATCATGGCCGAGAGACGAGGAGGCGAATTTTCTCCGAGGATGAAGTGAAAAGCGCGATATTTCAACGAGGCGATATTTACAACTAGCCCTCCCCCGGTTTTTTCTTAATTGGGAAATTAGCACAAATGGTGCAGATAATTAAAACAACTCTGAGCCGAAGAATGAGGCTTTTTCTCGCATTTTTTCCTATGAGAGCAGTCTTTTCCAATTTTAAAATCAATTTTCATAGTCTCTGACAAAAAGTGAATTTGAAAAATTGAACCTCATCAAAAGAAGATCTGATTATAAAATAACAATATAAACACCATTTTTTATCTGTTCTTTACGCGTTTTCATGCACAATAAAAAGTTGATTAAGCACAAAATCAACTTATGGACCTAAATTATCTATTATTTCTCACGCCCCGTATTGACAATACTTTTAAACAATTCTCACACAAAACCTCTATTTTTATTTATTTATTCATTTTTTTTAAACGCCGGTATTTCAACTACGAGATCATATAAACCCTCGGGGTGCCGACGTTTTTGAAAAAAGCTCATTTGTAAGAATGTCGGGTTCGAATGCAGGGCCGCTGGATTCGAACCAGGACCTTTACCTTACAATGATGAGCTCCGTGACAACGCCTAAACCCTTGCGGCCACCGACACCCCCAAAACCTCTATTTTTTTTTTAAGTTCGTGATATTCATATCTATAAATTAATTAATTTTGTTTATTTATTGGGTTTTGTCGCTCACAAAGAAAGTGGTTAAATAAAATATTCAATCGGAAAACATAGTACTTTTAGATCTCACACACATCGCTTTGTTTATAATTCATTCTCAGTCTAGAACCTAAATTGTGTAATCTATTTTTCACCTCATATTGAAAAAGAGCCATTAGTTTTTTAAATAATTCCCTTGGAAATTTTTTTAAAAACAATTTTCATACAAGAGGTCAGGTTTTTAAAACTGTTCCTCATGCATCATATCGATAAAATTCATTGATACACTATTTATTTATCAAGCATTCTCACGCACAAAAAAAGTGTTTTAATAAAAAATTCAATCGATAAACATAGTACTTTTAGATGATCTCACGCACACCGCTATGTGTATAATTAATTCTCAATCTAGGACCTAAATTATTTAATCTATTTCACGCCTTACATTGAAAAGAGACATAAGTTTTTAAATAANTTTTAGATGATCTCACGAATACCGCTTTGTTTATAATTAATTCTCAATCTAGGACCTAAATTGTTTAATCTATTTCACGCCTCGTATTGCAAAGAGCCATCAGTTTTTGTAAATAATTCTCTAGGTACAATTTTTTTAAACTATTTTCAAACAAGGCGTCAGGTTTTACTGTTCTCACGCACAAAAAAAGTGGTTTAATAAAAACTTCAATCAACAAACATAGTACTTTTACAGGTTCTCCCGCACATCTTTTTATTTATAATTATTTCTCCATCTAGAACCTAACTTGTTTGACCATTCCATATTGAATATTGCCAACATTTTTTTAAATAATACCCTAGGTACTTGTTTTTTAATGATTCTCATGCAAGTCTTTAAACTTATTTTCATGTAACAATTTGTACAAATAATTCTCACGCGATGTCATTTCAAACATCTCACCCACAATTCTTTAAACTAAACTCAGTTGTTCACTCCTTCTCAAGCACTAAAATTTTGTCAAGTTATTTTCTGAAAAGCCAAAACTTTTCATTTTCTCACGCACCATAGTTCAATGGCAATTACCGTATTAAACTTCAATTTTTAGTCATCGATGTTTTGTTGAACAATTCTCACGCAAAATTTAACTTTTAATACTTCATCACGAACCATATTTCAAACACATTTATCACGTTTAACCTCGAAGTTCCAATAAGTACAAATTTTTCTCAAATAATAGTTAGGAGAAACCTTGAATTTCAGCCATTCGGATATATTTTAATTCATTGTCATTCTAAGATTAAACCACAAGTTTTAAAATTTTCGCACGCATAAAAATTTAATAGCTATTACATTAAATTTATTTATTTATTTGTACGTTCGAACAACAAATAACACTTTTCATCTGAACGATTCTCAGGCAGAATATTCTGTAAATTATACTCAGATTAAAACAAAACCTATCCAGTTTTCTCACGCAAACGATTTTAAAGGCGATTAAACCGCAAAATTTTGACCCTTCGTACGTTTCTTTTTTCAAATAATTTTCCCGCGAAACCGTAAATTTTAGACATTTTCGTACACCATATTTTAAACGTAATTTTTACACTCAACCTCCTCAGTATTTTAGGTAATTCTCTAATTAATCCTTTTGAAAATCTTCTCACGCATTCAATTTTAATGGCGAGTTCAAATTAAATCTAAATACTTTATTCATTCAGAGGTACATTTTTCTTAAATAATTCTCACGCGAAAGGATAAATTTCAAACATTCTCACGCACCATATTTTAAACGTAATTTTTACGCCAAACTTTAGTTGTTTTTTTTCGATTACCTTCGACTAACCATAACTTTTCACCCAATTTTAGAGGAAATTGGCACATTAAACTTAAATTGTTTAATACTATAGTTTTCTTGAATAATTCTCTCTCGAAACCTTAAATTTTAAACCATTTCACGCACCATTTTTTAAATGTTAATGTTCCCACTAAATCTCAGTTTTTCACTTACAGGTACAATACTTTTTTTTAAAAATAATTCTGAGATTACACTAACATCTTTTTTGTCTGTTATAATGTCAAAATGATGTAAACTTTAATCGTGAAAATTTAACATTCTCAGGTAACACTTTTTTAACATTTATGTCACATGGTTATCCAAAGCTTAATTTTCAACCTGGCAGTATATTGTTAACCAAAGAAATTTTACAAATTTACATAATTTAATGAAGCCCGGGATATTTTTTTTTTTTTTATTTGTTTCGACAAAGTTTTTAATTCAACAGGAAAACAAAAGTTTCCACCTTAAGAATTGTATTGAAACAAAGTTTTGTTTTGTATTCAATTGTATAACCAGGAATGAATATTACTTTCTAACTTTTTCCAAAAAGTGAATCAATATAAATAATTCAATAAACCTTCAAAAACTGTTTAATGTCTGGATTGGCCTAATCCCACAGTGTAAATAATGGATATTCATGAGGTTGCGTTTTTTTTCTGTTTTTTTTTTTTTTTTCAACGGACCGGAGGCCATCCGAAGTGGAAAACAAAGAAATTAAAGTCGTTACATTGTTGCGTCAAACTCAAACTTGAAGAAAAAAAATGCAAGCAGGGGATTTTTTCTTTCTATTATGTAAAACCGTAAGCAATGGGTTATCAATTGTCTGAATATCTTGTTAATAAGCAATTTTAAACTTTCATTTTATCGTCCAAGCCCGTGAAGCCAATGCTTATAACTTCAACCGGTGCAAATATTTAGAGATACTTTATTAAGGCCTCTGGGAGCATTAAATAATCAAAGACTTTCTCATTTCCCGAAAAGGTTTTGAGTTTTCTTTCAAACAGGGTTGCAAATGTCGCCCCTGATGCCTCTGTTTTCTGATAATCAAAAGTCTACTTCCATTCCCGATTAAAAGGTTTAAAGAAAACAGAAAAATCAGCTATTATTTCATACCCATTTATAAAGCCAATTCAACAAATATTTAAAACCCTCAAAGCACCCGGCATCCACGAGTCTTCAGTCACACTGTACGCCGAACTTTGCCCCTTTTCCTGCTTATTTACAATGTTCACATACAGAGAATCGATTGATCCTTGAGGACACGGTGAAATTTCATTTTAATTTGGCCATGGGTGAAAAGCTTTTACTTCAATTAAAACGGGTCCTTCGGGTGTCTAAAGATTGATATTTCACCTAGAAAACAACACAGGTCACATTTGTTCAGATCATGTATAAATTCTTTCTAAAAGATTGTATATTTCATGCTTTATATCAAATTATTAAAACAAAAATGTCTTGCATAAACAAAAGTTTATATTGTTTTGAAGTTGTGAAGCCCGAATGCGCCAGAAAACAATAAAACAGGCGAGAGGCTTTAACAAGAAAAGTTGAACTTTCCAGTTCCATTGTTCAATCATCAGCTGCCATCTGCGCTTGGTACATTCACTCTGATAAAAAAAAATATATATATATATATATATATATAATTTNAATTAAAATTAAAAGAGAAAAACGACATCCTGCTCAAAAAAGTTTTAGGCAAATTTGTCACAAAACTTTAAAGGCATTTGATTGATTCTATTTAAAGTAACACGTAAAACACGAAAAATTACAGTTTTTCAGAGATACATCTAAAGCCCAAATTTTTTGAACATATTTGCGAATAAATGACATATTTTGTATACAACAGCAGCATTGAATTTGATCTATATGGCTACAAAACATCAATTAATTCAATTTACTATTTGCAGTTCCTCTAGGCTACGGCATGAGTTCTACTCTTTTTAAACTTAACATAACTTCTTGCTGGACGGCTTTTCCCAGGGGTCTAGCTGTTTTACTTATTTATTAACAATTGATTCTAATTGGTTTAATTATTAACCTTCAGTGCATTTTTTCTTTGAGCACTTTCAGGGCTGTCACATGCTCTTTTTAAACTTAAAACAACTAAATATCGAACAGCTTTTTCTAGGTGTCTGATAATTTGACTTGTGTTTTAACAATTTCGTAACTAATTAGTTTGATTATTTACTCTAATTTAGCATTGTATAAATTCATTCTTTTTTTATCTAAAATTTTCTAGTATTGTATAAACTCATTATCATAATTTTTCTTCTTCATCCTTCATGAATTTTTAAAATTCAAAAAACGTTTATAAACCCCAGACTCTGAAGATGATCTCAATAAAGTTGTCACGATAAAGAAAATATTTATCTAAAACACACCAGACGGCACCTCACGATTTCCAAATTATTAATTATTTACCTTCAGTACTAATATTTTCCCCTTTGATCACTCTCAGAGCTACGTCATAAGCTCTGCTTTTTTTAACTGAACATAACTTCAAAATATTTTGCTTCTTCGACACCTTGGTCAGGTTTGTGTTTGGTTATCAATTTTATAATAATTTAGTTCTCTAATAATATGGCTTTTTGTACGAATAATTTAAAAAAAGAATTCTCCTGGCTATGTCCTAGATCTTGTAGATTTGTAACGTGCCGATTTTAATTATACACTTAAAATACATTGCCTTCCTTGATGATTAATCATTTTTTACTTTGCTAAAAGTCCATGTTCCACTTAGTTCTGCTATTTTTAACGAAACATATCCTGGACATATTTGGCTTTCCTTGATGGCCGATTTGTTTCACTACATTAATTGTGAATTTTTTTAATAAATATTTACCTGGCGTTAAAATATGAATATAACAGATTCATATTTTATTCAGCGATTTAACTGCAATTAGCATAATCCGGTCGCTATTTGTTATTCCGTTTCGTTTTAAAATAAAATGAGTGTCTCGACAAGCTTTGATTGTTTTTCGTGCATTAATTTTTTCGAAAGGGGTTTTTCAAATTAAACTTCACTGATTCATTGATGCGAATATCGCCTTCTGTTTCGAAATTGTTTTCGGTTCAAACTCACTTAGTACACAGGTCCTCTTTATTATGTAAGTTTAACTCGAACCCCTTTTCACATTTTCCTTTTCAGTGTTGCCAAGATGGCTGGGGCCGATTTCAAAGCTAAACTTTCCTCCAAATTGAACTGTATTGTTTGGTAAAACCCGACTGTTAATTGGCCGTACCGACTGCGCGCCCCTCCGGTTAATTCACGTTTTGTCGTTCACCTTACTGGCAAAGCAATTTATTTCCCTGTGATCGGAAAACGGCCTTCTTATCTGCCCCTACCGTCAGCAGTAAAGGGAAAGAAAATTACTTGAATTTTAACCACCCTCGCTTCTTGAAATAGTCGTTTTATCATTTGATCAACTTCGCCAACATGGCCTGTCAACGACAGACTGGAAAACACCCTCATTAAGAGTACCAGCACAAGGGGGGAAACAATTACAATGCACATTAAAAAAAAATTAAAAAGTAAACTCACTCAACACTCAACACAACGCTGTTTATCAGCCTTGACAATATTTAAAAATGTGTAATTTTCTTTCAGCTCGCCAAGCTGTTCTCATATAGCTGGACATTGGGCATATTCCTCTGCAAGATGGTCCACTACATGCAGAACGTGTCTGCCATATGCTCAGTCTTTACTCTTACAGCCATGAGTGTTGAAAGGTAAATTATGAAATAATTTTATAAGGTGATTTTTTTATCTTAACGTTTATTCTTATCAATTAATTAATCTTTATGTAACGTATTGGTTGATATGAAAAAGTTAGTGTCACGAGCGGGATTCGAACCCACCGAAGGTCGACACCTTACATAAAGATTAATTAACTGAAAGAAGTTATTTGGTCAATCGGACTACGAAATCTAATGGGTTTATCCATATATTGAAAATTTTAGAATAATCCAACTTTTTAAGAGTGGTGTTTAGTGATCGTTAGACAATGATTATTCGGAGATCGGGAGATGCGGTCTGGTGCGACGTAGGCTTTAGAAAAATGTTTTCTTTATCATGCCAACGTTTCGATCTTTATTGAGATCATCTTCAGGTCTCAAAGTGTTTATTTTCCGTGTAGATGTGTCATTCTTGTGACTCTCAACACGTCACACAAGTCCCCACCGAAAACAAACAATTTCAGCCCTGATGATGATCTCAATAAAGATCGAAACGTTGGCATGATAAAGAAAATGTTTTTCTAAAGCCTACGTCACACCAGACCGCATCTCACGATCTCCGAATAACCATTTTTTTTTAAAATTTCCATAGGAGTTTTTATATTATAAATTATCTTTTCCGTTCGGAAAAATACTTTTTTAGTTTACCACCAGAGAAAAAAGGTTTCCAAGAAAAATATAATAAAACGTTTTGAATACATCCTTCCATTTTTCCTCTCTCCCATTATATACGGGGTCAATTATTATGAATTAACGTTTCCTCTTTTCGGTACAAATCGCCGGCCCATTGTACGCCATCAAAGTGAGTAAAATTTGAAAACGGCAGGGGGTCGAAAAAGCCACCCTATCAGCGAGACCGTGATTGATGACAAGAAGGTATTCATGTGTTCCGCTCCGCTGGGCGACTTTGTGTGCCATTCAAAGTCCCCAAGTTTCGTCAAGTTCTAATGATAAACTTAAGCTATAAAAACATTAAAATTAATATAAAAGAATTTTTATTTTCGAATTATGAAAAAAATTGTAATCTATTTCACAGAACGTTGAAGAAACCCCTGCCGTATCCATAATAGGCAATCACGCAAACCAGCAAAGCCGTGCGTTCGGCGTTCTTTGACAATTATCCCTTTAACGCTTGCATTTTATGAAAAGCAAAGAGGCAAAAAATAAATAAAGCACGTTTTAACAAAATGAACCTATTCTTTATTTAAGGATTAATTGAAAACAATGTCGGTTTAAAAAAAATTAATATGTCCAAATATGAAGAAAACCCTTAAAACAATATAATTAACAAGTCGTTTTTCGTTTTACATAATTTTTTTCAAGAAATACAATTTTTCTCAGTAAACTGATTCATTAAATATCCTATAAGTTATCACTGGGTGTGTGTTTTCTTTCATACCGACGATTGTTTATCTTTGGTTTCTCTATGTGCTAGTTTGTCAACCGTTTTTATAACATTTTTAAACTTGAAGGGACGGATAGTGAGTTTTTGCTTTCTGCCCGCGACTTTAAGTAAATTATTTGTGGCTTGGGTGGCTAGAGATTGCTGGTAGAAATGACCAACGGCTAGGTGTAGTTAGAGATGATTACAGAATGTTAGATTTGGTTAGTTAACGTTTAGTGATAGTTCGAGGTGGTGAGGAATGATTACAAATTGTTCGTATAGCCTAGAAATAATTTGGTACTGCTTGAGAAGGTCAAGAATGGTTAAAGGTGGTTACAACCGGAGTGGAGTTTGTAAGGGATAATAAGGAAATGTTAGAAAATGTCAGAATGATTTGGTACAGTTAGAGATAATTAAGAATAGTACAAAGAAGTTAAGAAAAGTCAGAAATGGTTAGAGGTTTAGGTATGGAATGGTTAGACAAGGCCAGGAATGGTTAGAGATCGTTAAGAATGGTTTGGGACGGTTAGGATTGATTGCAGTTAGTTAGGGAAAGAGGGGGTCAGGTATGGTTATCCATGGTTAACGTTCACCAGGGAAAGTAAGAGGTTTTTTGTCTTAATGCAAAGACCAGTTACGAATGTTAGCATAGGTAGAGATAGGGTCTTTGAGAGATGGTCAGAAATATGTATGGAAGATTAGAATTTATAATTGTAGATAATTATGAAAGGCTAGGAATGGTTTAGGATGGTTTTGGCAGGTTAGTCCTAGTTCACGGCGCCTTCGCAGACAGACTCTGGGGGCATTGATACCAACTGATGCGCTTATCCGTAGTATAATGAGAATTCAACATGTTTAGCATGAACAAAAACCTCAAAATTTTTCTCTCCTTCATCCCACCCAAAACCCGGTCACGACCTAAGTCGTAACGCCTGGAGGGAAGGGTCAGAACACTATTAAGTTAGAGCTCACTTCGACGTAGTAAAATTTCTGATATAACTTCACGAAGGAGAAAAAAAGTCGAGAATGGAGAGAGTACAGACCCTGCGTTGAAGATTGCTGAAAGCTGAAACCCTCTTTAAAAGACCAAAGGACCAAGCATTGGTAGAAAAAATGGTCAGGATGGACAAAATTTTGTTGCGATGATCCCATTATTTTAATGTTCTATGGAGTGAGTTAGTAGTGTCAGAATAATAATTAGGTTAATATATTTAATAATGAGTTTCAAATAATTAATCTCTATATATAAGGTACCTGTTGAAATAAAAAAGCCAGTGTCACGAGCGGGATTCGAACCCACGACCCTCGGCTAAATACGCCGCTACTCTACCACTTGAGCTATCCTGACTTCCCATCTCAACCCACCTTTCGAATTTGAAAAATGGCAAAAAGTAGGGAAAGTTCGAAAGGTGTGGTTGAGATGGGAAGTTAGTGTCCGAGTGGATCGAAGTTAGGATAGCTCAAGTGGTAGAGCAGCGGCGTATTTAGCCGAGGGTCGTGGGTTCGAATCCCGCTCGTGACACTGACTTTTTTATCTTAACTAAAAACCTTAATTAATTGAGTGATATTAATTGGTCAAGCGGACCACGAAAAATAGTGAATTTGATGAATTAAAATGAAGTATACTTCACTAAAGCTCTCCGTGGCCATTTCATTTGTCGCCGAGAATCAAATAGTCTACACGACATTTGAAAAATGGTAAAAAGGAGGGAAAATTCAAAAGGTGTAGTTGAGATGGAAAGTTAGTGCCCGAGTGGATCGAGGTCACGATAGCTCAAGTGGTAGAGTAGCGGCGTATCAAGCCGAAGGTCGTGTGTTCGAATCCCACTCGTGACACTGGCTTTTTTATCTCAATTAAAAACCTTAATTAATTGGTCAAGCGGACCACGAACTCTAATGAATACTTAATAATAATAATATCTTTATTTATGGCAAGCCAATTTAATTTATGTTATATTTGATTATCTATATTATACCTATATTTATTTACTCATGTGTACATCTATATTTCTATACAGGATGTCAGTTTTTAGATGGCCCGGCTGAAAAAAAAATTTAAAAAAGGGTTTGATATTTTTTAGTCTAGTTTCAAATTTTTACCTTATTTTAGAGCAAAATAATACAGGGTACCGCACGCTCAGTTCAACTTCAAAATTTCAAGTATGACCCTGTACAACCTGACAAATCATTTTAAAGGATTTTTAACGTTGAAAAGAAGGTGATATCGGATTATAATTTGGTCAAAAAATGACCAAGTTATTTGGTTTGTTATTTATCACATTTCCTGTTCGAACGGCCTGGCCTTGCATAAAGATGCAAAGATTTGCTTATTTAATAGCTCTTATTTAACCGTTAATAGAAAATAAAATATTTTTAGACGTTAAAATCTTGATTTAATTCATTTTTCACTCGTTAGTAATGAATCGACATCAAAACAAGGAAAAATAAAATATTTTGAGCGAAATATAATTATTTCTAAGTAATTACTAGGCAGACAAAAAGGGAAAAATTATATTGATTTCCAATATTATGTGTGATTAAAGCCTACCATATTAGATAAATGTGTACGTATAAAAACTTCAGTATAAAATTTTTTTATAAGTGTTACAAAAGTCCTTGTGTGTACATACATAATTTCTGATTAAATATTTAGATCATTAAAACGCGCACTCCTTGCAGCTCCGATAGCTCTCTCTCTTTTGAGATTCCTTTGTTTAAAAAACTGTAACATCACCTGAACATAATATTTTACACACAATAATATTTCAGCTCTGGGAGAAAAACAATATCTCTGGGCCATTTGTGTACTACATCCAGCCAACACTAACCACCTTTCTTATGTAAATTATTTTACTTAAATCAAAAGTCTGTTGAACATCTTTCAAATACACCCCTATTGCATTTATACAATCGCCAACTATAAATGAACATATAGTATATATATATTTTTTATTATTATTCTTTTTTTTTTACAACTGCATTCATTCGATGCAATAAGTAAATCAAATAGTAAATACATACCAACAATAGAATGGAAACGTGAACAGCAACCACCCAGCGTTGGAAGCCGTTATAATAAAAACATGAGTGGGATGTACCTTATGACCGACCGGTGCTCGACCGACGTCGAGTAGTGAGGTTGTCCCTGGGTGTTTGTAGCGGGACTGGCAAGATGAGCAAGAAGAGGAATGTTTAGGTCGGTATGGATGGTGTGATTGGAACAACATAGAAGACTACTGTTCTGAGGACTTTAGATTGGATGGATTGGATTCTGTTAAGAATCGAACATTTAACAGTCCCATAGAGTTCAAGTCCGTATGTCCAAATGGAGTCAAGGAGGGTATTGTAAAGTTTTCTTTTGTCATTGAGAGTTAAGTTCGTATGTACTGTCTGTGCTGTTGAGTCGTGTTTGGGGTCAGTTTTTTCCAGCCTGAAATCATAGCGATTGAACAATGTGCCAGAGAAATAAAAGGCTAGGAATACATTCCAGGAAGATAGTAATTTTCTCTGAAAGCCAAGCAGCAACACTCATGCGAGGCGAAGGCAAAGATTGTTTGGATGTATGGAGGCTTTGACGGAAGTCAGCGACACTGATGACCTGAGCCTGGCA